ATTCTCAAAATTTTAACGAATACAACGATCGATCGGATTAGAATGATCTGTCACGTGATCGAAAAAAAACGCTTATTAGAAAAAATTCTAAAGACTCGAAATTCGGTTATTTCTCGCTCCAGCTCACCTCAGGTTTAATCAAATATTTAAATTATCAACGCAAATGCGATAACCCTTGTGCAAATTTCTGAGTGCGTTTTTATTGGCGCGGTTGGGGAGCGTTTTCGTTCCGTCACCCTATCGCCGAAAATCGCGGCTCAATTTCGGATGAACTCAGGAGTTGCGCGACTTTGAAAAAAGATTGAAAACTGTTGATGTTTGAAATCAATGTTCTCCTTTGATGATGTTATAATAAAAAAAATTGATAAGGGTTTGAAGATAGGGGAATTTAGAAGAACTCACGCGAATGGCTAGTTTTGCGCGGTTTCAGTAAAAATTCAGTGAAATAAAGCGCGAATTTGAACCCACAGAATTCTATATTTTTAGAATGAGTTTTGACGATGAGTTGTTTTTTGAATTATTTGTTTTCATATAAAGACAATGGAGAAATTCAACAATAAACCCTGAAAATTGTCAGTGGAAGTTATGTCCTTAGCGTGCTCAATTAGCGTCATTTCTGAAGAGCAGCAAAGCGCCTGCCCAAAAGAAAGACATCCTTATCCTTTTTCGAAGAGACTTCAATTGAGAGCCCCTTATATCTATTTCCGCAAGGGAATAATTTATTCCCCTTCGGTCCTTATCTCCAAGAATTTCATCTGAACTCATTTTTATCTTCTGTCTACGCTAAAAATAGCCTTCAAATGAACAAATATAACTTCTTTTTTTTTACGAACAACAGTAGAAGAAGCATTTTTCTTTCTAAACTTAGCGGGGAAGATTCTAAATCGTGATCAGGAAGTCTTGCCCTGTGAGCGGTACACATGTTTGCTAGCTTTAGGGACATGCAGAATAAATCTCAGCGTACATCGTGTACGATACAACCCTCTAAATGGTTTCTTATCTGATTTTATTAAAAGAGAACATCGTAAAAATAAAGGTTACTCCAGCTTTTGACCATCCAAAAACGAGGGAAAAGCTATTTTTGCATTATTCTATTAGAAGATGATTTTCGATCGTCTTAAAGATAGTAAGTCGACTTGAAAATTGACGTATCAACAGAAGAAAACTTCAGCCGCTGAATTTATTTGATAAGCTGACTTTTGATATTGGTGGCTATTTACGGTTTTTTGGATATTTGGTGTACGCCCCGTAAGTACGTGTCCCGTACTTTTTTAGAGCTGAGTCGTGAAAAAGCAAGGGTGTCTTTCTAAGGCTATAAATTGAATCTTGCCGGGGCGCAGCTCTAAACAAGCGGCCAGTTTTGCCCGTAAACTTGCCACTGCCACATCCAATTATGACATAATCCCTAGTCGGCATTAGTCTAGGTCGCAGGCACTACCGTCGGTGGAATTAAATTTGAACCCTTGGAGGTGAGGCCCAAGATTATTTAAATGCAATGACCCCTTAATTCCGATGCATTCTTTCTCTAAAGGCTTTCAATGGACCACGGTCTCCTTCTAATTTGCCGCGGAAATCGACCCAATCTGGATTTTCTTCCTGAACATCAGCCAATTTCCGCCACCTTCAACGAAGCAAGGTTCAGAAGAAATTTCAAATCCGGCCATTTTTCGTGCCAAAAGGAGAAATAATCGTCGATTTGTGATTTTAATGCTCGTAAGAGGGGCTTAAATTTTTAATTTAAAATTCTTGGATCGCAGATTGTGGAAATTTCGTTTTTTAATTTTGGCCTGGATGTGCGTGTTGAGGAGTTGGTTTTGGACCACAAGACAGACCACGACCGGCGTCACCCTCATTAGATAAAGCAGCGAGGAGCACTTGGTACTTTGGCGTGTTCCGGTTCAACTGCCACTCTCTCTTTGGGCTTGCTACTCCTAATTAACCAATCTTCACTTACAGTACTTTTCTTATGGAACGAAACAGACATCGCTTATGGATTATTTCAGAAAAGATGAACGCTTATTTATATTTTCATTTTTGTTTGGTTCTCTTCGAGTTTTTCTGCTCGTCAATAATTGAGAGTTATTGTGTCGAGTAAATATTCGATGTTTTGGTGGAACGGTGGGAACGGAAACAGGGTTGAAGCCTGAAATCCCGGATTGCCGGCGAGTTTGTTTGAAAAGAGAATTGGCCTTTCCTATTTTTTCCCGACAGGTGCATATTTTGGAATGCAGCTGCCGACCGCCGATCGGACTATGCTTCGACCAAACACCTGCCGATCGCTAGAATCTAAAAAGTCTCTTCTCTCTTGAGCAAATTATTCAAACATTCATTAAAACTAAACAAGCTCACACGTTCTATTTCCCAGAGCCACTCTATTTGCATAAAAAAACTTGCTCTGTCTCTAAAATTTCCCAAAGAGAGCCATTTTATTTTCTATTTTCTGAGTCATTTTTTCTAAACTCCCTTTTTCCCGACCATCTGCCTTTTTCTTTTTTTTAAAGATTTTAATTAACCAAATTTCATGTTCTCTTTCTTGCGTCAGAATCCAATAAACCTTCGTTCAAATAAAACACCAAATCTCGTTAGCGACCCTTAAGGTGACCCTTCTTTGGTTTAAAAGGTGTTTCACAAAGCTGGATTTCCAAAGAAAAGGCAGGAGGTTCATTTGTGTTAATTAAGAAGGGGCCAAGAAACCGCAAATTTCGATTTCAATTTGGCTTTTCCCTCATTAAAAGAAATCCTAGGGATGCGTTTAAAAAGTGATTATAGTGACGGTTTCACACATTTTCTTGACACGTGGGGTCCAGGACCTGGGTGAGAGGAACATCAACTTTGCCGTAAGGATTTTTAATCAATTTGTCAACCGAATAAAAGGTTGAAATCTTAAGGGGCAGACACTGATAATCACGATTTTCGAGCTTCATTTTATCCAAGAGTACACGCTTTTTTGAGTTTTTGACCTTGGCTTCCCTTTTTCTTCTGAATTTTTCCATGGTTGAACATGCATATTGGTCAGTGTAATACTTATTTTGAATTTTGGAAAGTCCTGGAAGATCGAGCGTTTCTAAATATTCACGAGTCGCTATCTAAAAATCGACGCTAAAAATACATAAACTCAGGGCTTGTCCAAAATGTGAGTTCGGCCGGAAGGGTAGCTTCATCCGCCGGAAGTGTTGATTTTCGCATTCCAAGAATGATCAAATTAGAGGATCGTTTTTTTAATAGCTCTAGCGACCAAAATACTAAATGTAGCTGCAGATACATTTAGCTATTATTAGACACGGTTGGAGCATGACCCGGCCACTAACAGGTGAAAAGGGTTGATGGAGGTTTGTAGAGGGATAAATACTGGAGTTACGTGGAAGTTCTCTTTTGACGAAAATTTTCAATAAGACCCTTTTTTCAGGAGATTTGCCCAGATTCTTCTCGCCTTCATCTTCGTCCTTGGAATGCTTATCATCGGTATCTTCGCGAATACGACCCGCTCTGGCACTCTCAAGGTAATTTTTAAAAAACAGAAGCCTCCTAAAATCGCTTCTCATCAAACCGGTGGCCCGGATAAACAAGCTCAAGGACTACGTATCGAGTATTTTGACTGTGACAATCAATCGCGCTCGTTTGAGACATTGTCCAGTTCGAAAGCGGATGTGACCGCTCTGACTTCTCCGCTGGAGCATTTGACCTGATAGCTCACATGATCAATAGTACGAAAAAAAAAACTCGTACGGAAGCAAATTCGACTCAAACTAGATGCCCAAGTCTGAGTCTTAAGGGAGCCCCACTCAAGGCCAATTATGATAAGAAGAGGGAAGGATATATAAATGTCACTAGAATTGTAGACAAGGCATTTTCCAAGGCCACTTTTGAGCACAAGCTTTCTGAAGACCTATCCCCTTTTTGGCGCGAAAAAAAGGATGTTTACGCAAGGAACTTGTTTTCAACTCTCGCAGCGGCGAAATATCAACACTCACGTTGGCGCGAGTGTTATAGTTATAGCGATTTTTGAGAAGCAATGACGAAAGTAGAAAATTATAACCTCAACACAAGTAACGAAGAAAATGATAAGCGCAACTCAGGGTGATAAAGGCCCTGCATTTTCAAAACAAACTGAATCAGTCACAGACATACAGTTAAGCGACATTCTAAAATAGAGATAAAACTGGGGAAGTGCCACGTGACATATGAAATTTTTCTGTATGAAGCTTTCATCGTTTGTAAAAATCAATAAAAATCTCGAAAAAAGACGGGGTTTCTTCATTTTTACAGTCGAGTTGAGCGGTCACCCGAGGATTTATTCTGACCCGATGATGTCATGAGAAGATGTCCTCTCTAACAAAATTCGATACACAAGAATACTAGTGCGCTAAAACACACGTTTCCCCCGAAAAGAACCGGGCTCAAACTCGACACATGTATTTTGCATTCTCTGGTTACGTATTGAAATGGATCCGATTTCTTATCGTCCGGCTTTTCGATGCTTCCCACAGGTGGCAACATGTGTTTGGGAATGTGTGTTTTCCGTGGCACGTGATAGTTGTGCTCCGAGCCGGCAATGTGAAGAATTTTTCAGAAATTTTGAAAAAATAAAATAAGGCCGCCCAGCTCAGCCGTCCCGAGAGGACCCGATTTTTCATGTTTTGCCAACAGCGCCTTTGCTAGTAAATCCGTCAATATTCTGTACTGCCTTTTTGAAAGAAAAAAAAGGGAACAAAAGTTCCAAGAGTGAAATAGACTGAACTTTTTGTAATACGCCTTCCTTTTTTTAAGTTGCTAATTAAAAAACTCTGTCGCTAGACGTTTTTAAAAAGTGTTTTAAATTATTTCGTTTTAGTCCTGCTTCGAGTATGTGTTCGCCGCGACATTGGATTGCCTTTTGGTCTGCTTATTTGCCTTTTTCAAACGGTTCTTAAAAAGTTAATTGACAATTGTAGAAAACGGACGGGCGCTTATTACGGCTATCGCTGAGTTAGATAATAATTACGAACCCAAGAAAGTGTTTCATGTTGGCGGCGAAGAAGGACTCGCCTATTCGACTTTTGCCTCTTGCCAGATATGTCACAATGAAGGAATCGACCCTCCCTGACCGCGAAATCCCTGACGACGAAAAAGAGTGCATAAGCCAATCCGAAGCTGAAGAAAACGCTGAGAAATCTGTAAGTAAAGAGGACAAAGAACAGTCTGCTAATTTTCCCCATAAAATGATGAGTCAAATTTGCATGTAAAATAATAATATTACATATTTTAAAACGCTCACTCTATTTGAGTCAATCCCAAACAGCGCGAGGTCAAAAGGCACTTATTTCTGGGCCGGATTAAACCGTGTTGCGCAAATCGTAAAAATTTGGCGCAAACGTAACGTTCGTTCTAAATTTTCGAATCTAGCAACGTGCACTATTGCCAATACATCCGACAGTGACGCCCTCTTTTCCAAAAATGTACATGTTGCGCTTCATGAGTCGCGTGTGCTGGCACTCTGTTTGGATTCGGAATATGGCTATTAAATCTACCTGGAAGTTCGCAATAATCAAGAATGACCTGTCAATGAAATATTTGGGGTGTTTCCCCTGTAGCATTAATTTATCATCTTTTCATATTTTAAAAAAAACGATAGATACCCCCGAATATCAGCTTTTCCTTATCATCAAAGAATTTTCAGCTTATCCGCCCTGATCCCATAGTTATCATTAATTTATCAGTCATGTGACTTTATGGGTTCTTTCTGATGTCGCGTTCTATTTTACCACCTCATCATTTTTTATTTTCAGAAAAACACAATTATGGTTCGACCCAGATAGCTGGCTTAAATTCAGTCAAAATGTTTTTCTAATTTTTTGCAAAAATAGTAATTTGTCTGCATTTTTAGACATCTTACGCAGTTTCTTTAAGACCACCTACCTTGCCTTCATCTGCGCCATCCTCATCGTCGTCGGCATCATCCTCGAAGCTACTGTCAACGCCGAACTTACCGACCCACAGAACTAGAAACCCAGCAATTTCATTATCGACCTGGAATCCTTTCTTTTTTTAGACTGACTTTGAAACCAAGTAAATTGAAGTTATGAGTTTTATTTCGCCGCTTCTCTTTTTGCTCCCGGGAATCTCATTTGCCCTCTTATTATGCCAAAATAATCAGACAATATTTATGATTATCCTTTATCATCTTCCCTCACTTGGAATTTTCATAACAAGCTTCAAAGCGTCAAAGCTTCGTTTAGATTTTTTATGGATGAGTAGCATCATTAGCTCCGGAATTTGCAAATGGAATTGTGAAATTCGGTCATTTTAGCAGCCATATTTATGTGCATTCAAAAGTCCAAGGACATTTGTTTGCTATAAATTGAAGTTTCAAAATTGAAAATCAAGCAAAAAATTGTTTCGGTTTTCGATATTTTTTGTTATGATTGAGAGAGAAACTGAAGAATGGGTAATTATGCATCCTAAAATAAAATGAGTCTTATTATTACTAATACGTATTCCTCTCAATTAACCCTTTCGTAACCCTAAATATAAGAATTATTTTAAGACGCAATGCATCATGCAAGAAGCTCTGATAGATATCGCTAACCCGATAATAAAGACTTTTGCCCCAGAGTTTACAAACTGGCCCCTCTTTTTTTATCTTAGAAAAATTTAGTTTATACTTTTATCTTGCTTTGAACAAGATAATCCCGTCTTATTTTTAATTTCTTATCTCTTGAAAAAACACAGTAACGGTTACTTTTATCAAAGACGAAAGCTCAAGCTTGGGGCTACGCAACTTTGGCCAATACCCTCATCACTTTGGTCGCCGTGGCTGGTATCGGAATAATCATTTGCACAAAGCGCCTTTCCAAATCGACGATGCAGCTCATTTTCGATTTCTTCATCGCCCTCGGAGTTTCGACTATGCTAGCATCTGCGCTTCTGCACTTTCTACCCGAAGTTCTAGGGATCACGACTCCAGAAGGATACGTTCATGCGGTTGAGAAATTGTCGGTCGTCATTGGCATCATTTACGTTTTTTGGGTATTTGAGCAAGTGACGTTCATGTTTGGTCACGGACACTCTCATGGCGGCTCAGAGACGCATCAAGTTGAGAATCAGGATCAGGCTCGCGGTTCTCTTAGGTTCTCAGCCATGCGGCAAAAATAATATCTTCCCACAAATAGGGTTTATTAAAAATTCCGGCAGAGAATCAAATATTTCTCGATTTTTTCAACGTTTTTGATAAATCGCGTCGAAATCCTGTAGAACCTGATCTACAGTCATCCGAAAATGCTATCGCGCCGACAAAACCTGACGTTCAGAATGAGCTCAACGAGCGTCCTGAATTACAGGAAGATATTTCTAACAAAGAAAGAAGGAAGAGAAACAGAAGTGCTATTCTCGGAATTCTAGTCGGAGATTCTGTGCACAATTTTGTCGATGGAGTTGCTATTGGAGTGTCTTGGGCGCAAAGCTGGGAAACTGGTCTGGCAACTTCACTGGCTATTTTTCTTCATGAGTTGCCACATGAGCTGGCAGATTTCACGATTTACATCAATTTTGGCTTGTCGAATGCCGCTGCTTTAGGAGCAAATACATTCTCGGCTTTCTGGAGCTACGGGGGTCTCTACTTAGGCCTAGCTCTTTCAGGTGAAAAATTAGATTAAATTCAATGGGTCAGCTATTTTGTCATTTCCAAAAAACATGACGATTTGGGCCAAGAGGAGTTGTAATCTTTATTTTTCAGAAAATACAGGTGCGTCCGACTGGCTGATGGCCTGTGTAATTGGATTGTTTTTGTACATCCCCTTTGTCGACATTATGCCAGAATTGAAGATACAGAATGCATCCGAGAAAAAATGGCTGCGGCTGCTCATTCAAAATTTGGGTATGCTCGGTGGCTTCGTAATTATGGCTGTTATCGGCATTGCTGAGGGAACATGATCGACGAACATTGATTGAAGAATCGTTGGACTTGTCTATTACAGTAGAATAACTTGTCCCAAACTTGTTTTACAAGTGACTTGTCTACTAGAGGTAATTGATCTAACTTCGCAATTCAATAATTAATTTCATCTTAGAAGGGTAACTCGTCGCTTTTTCCATTTTCTGCAAAAAGCGTGTCTACCGAAGTATGGTAACCGATGACAAATATACTTTTATTGTGCTTGATCCTTTTTGATTAGCGATTTCTTGGCAAAATAAAATACTCAATATCAAGTCAATATCAGTTCTCACCAGAACTGTTGCTTCCAAAGTGCTAATCTTTGGAAAAACAGCGAGTTGTTTTTGAAACTTTAGCTTAGTTTCGGGAAATTTCCAAAAGATCTCTTTTCATTAAATTTAACAACTTCTTTGTGTTGCGTCTTTTTTAAATATTGACTGTACTATTGGCAATATAAACTCTCAGATATTCTGTCGATTCTAAAGAGAGTACTTTCACCTCGGGAAATGAAGCTTGCTGCATTTTTTGCGGTTCAGGAGAGGCTTAAATATCGCCAATTAAAAAGTGGTGACCCTTAAGGTTTTAAGATATTGCTTGGGTTCGATTTCATCCCACTCGGATTAAACGTGTAGATGAAGAGATTCAGCCGCTAATGAGTAGCCACAGCTCATTTTTGGAGGGCGCATTTGTTTTTTGTCTTGCAGACTTATGCGACAATATCTGTAATAGAGGTTATTCTAAGCCAAATAATAGGCCGCTACTGATGCGAAAATACTTGGCAATGAAAGAGCTCCTAAGAATTTGCCTGAATGCGTTGCTTCTTACCAGTCCCCGTCTGCAGCATACATTGCAAAGGCAAACGAGTACCTTAAAAACCATGGAATTTTCGACGGCCACAATGATCTTCCCTTGACATATACCGACCTTTTTCCTGAGAATCAGGTTCTTTTGATTATATAAAAGTATATTAACATGACAAAATCTTTGCATACATTCATCCTCCTGTAGGATCTTGGAAAAATTGACCTCTATGAACGCGAGCCTGCTCAAAATCCACCAGACATGCAATACCAAGTCAGATCTCATACCTCCATCCCATTGGCTCAAGAAGGTCAGCTGAGGGCGCAATTTTGGAGCGTTTACTGGGGCTGCTCCTCCAATCAAAAGACGCCGTCTCGTGGGGACTTGAGCAACTAGATGTTACGAGAAGAATGATCGATGCTTACCCAGAAATGATCATTCCGAAAACGGCACAAGAAGCAGAAGACCTTATCCGAAAAGACGAGTTTTCGATAGCCTCTGTAATGGGACTAGAAGGAGGACACATGATCGGAGAGTCGTTGGCGATTTTGAGACAGTACTACGAGCTCGGAATTCGATACATGACACTGACGCATAGCTGCAGCTTGCCCTGGGTCGTTGCGAGCCCGGATGATGACAAGACTAGTGAAGGATTGACGGACTTTGGAGTCAAAGTCGTGAAGGAAATGAACAGACTCGGCATGATTGTTGATATTTCACATGTCAGTCACCATACCATGCGAGGTACAATTTTGATGCTAAGTCGACAATCGTGGGGAGGGGATCTTGTGGTTAATCAAGGTTACTAACGATCTTGTACTTGTAGCTGCACTGGCCCACACGACCGCGCCAGTAATGTTTTCGCACTCGTCTGCGCGGGCCCTGGCTGACACTCACCGCAACGTTCCAGACGATGTTCTCCCCTTGGTTAAGGACAACGGCGGCGTCATTATGATCGTCTTTTACACGTTTGTCAGAAGGTCGTAAAATTAATTAAAATTTATCCACTTCAGCGATTTTGTCAAACGAAACGCTGTTTCGCAGGACGAAGATGGAAATTATGTTATTTGTGTAACTGCAGATGATGTTGTTGATCACATGATGCATATCGGAGAAAAAATAGGTAAGCGGATGAGAAAATCGGCTAGCATTAAATATTAAGGTTTCGAACATGTTGGAATCGGTGGCGACTACAATGGCGTTCGAACTTTGCCTCACGATGCTGAGGATGTTTCCAAGTACCCACTTGGTAATAATTGTTTTGCGTTTGTATTTAACCTGGTGCTTTTCTAAGTCATGGCGAAGCTCATCGAGCGACTAGAGCAGAAAAACTATCCTGAGAGCGAGATTCGAACGATTATCCAAGGAGTTGCGAGGTAATTGCGACTCTTAATTGAGCGATCTTGAAGAAAGTTCGATTACTTACCGAAAATCATATGTTTTGACACTCTTGATCTTGTCATAAATTAATTGATGCTTTCAGTGACAACATTCTTCGAGTGTGGAAAGCTGTTGAAGTTGAGTCCGCAAAACTAAAAGTAAGGATAACAAAATCGTTGAAAATTAGGTCACAAACATACTTTCAAGGCCGGTGGAATGGAACCGATTTGGGAGTGGATTCCAACGGAAGATCGGGTTTGGGACAACTCTGATACGAACACTTGCAAATCAGGACGAGATTGGCCAGTTGCTGAGGACGACGAAGGAAAGAACAATTCAGATGGTGGTGGGAATTCTGCATCGTTTCTTGGACTTTCTCTGCCTCTTGTTCTTTTTTCTCTTATGAAATAAATACCGCTGATAAATCGAGATTTGAATCTATCAAATCTATGCTTAGTCGACAATCTTTGGATTCACGGAAAAGTGATGGAACGAATTCGAAATCGGATCGAGATGCTCGATGAAAATATCAATTGAAGCTCAAGAACCCTAGCGTAGAATCCAAGCATTAGAATTTTCTTTTGTGCGCACGTTATCATCCAACGTGCCCATTGAGCTCTAATAAACAAAATCTGTTTTCGCGCTCGAGGGGCCAATCGCATGATTGGCGGTGATCTGATCAAGTGCGCTAGAATTATTCGCCGCGCGCGTTTCCGATTTTTCGTCCCCGGTCAAGAGCGACCCTTGGGGATGGAACGGCAGCCCGCAACGATGCTCAAAATAGAAAATAAAACAGAAAAAGGATAAAGATCGAATTGATAACAACCAGTTCTGTAGAAATCCAGAATAACTCGCTCCACTTCCGAAATTCACGTTATTTATTGAGCGCCACAATCGATATTAACAGTACTTAGTCAGGAATTGTTTATTTTTGTTTTGAAACTTGCTGTGAGTGCCTGGACTGCTGGAGTTAGATTACATGCTGTTTAATTATTGAAATTCATGTAATTACTTTAAAGTAATGAGAAATTAATAGAGGAGATTACAGCTGCAGGTATCATGTTGGGAGAAAATCATTGTTCTACCAAATTCTTTATAGAAAGGAATTTTTTCGTTGAATGTTTTTTTTTCAGATTTATTTTTGAAGATTTGTTTGCTGATTTTATTGTTAAGAATACCGTCTTTTTCTCTGAAAAAAATACCTCCCGGAATCGAATAAATTCCACATTGTCAACGGACGCTAAATCCTGAAAATCTTCTTTATCTCAGAAAATGAGGCGTTCCATCAAAATGTCGACCGCGAGAAATGGAACGAGAATGTCCCCAAAATCACCGCGTTCGAAAGTGTCTATTAGTCGATGCTGCTCGTTGGATTCACGTTCCGCCAAAGATGATTTCGCTTGTGACCGCAAGATCCTGTCATACATAAGTATCTACCACCTTCTGACTTCTGACAGTGAATCACACGTCTTTTACGCGGATGCACACCTAAGTTCAAGACTTGAAGGATGAGCCGTAGTTTTCGCTGAAAGTTCTCATCTCTTTCATCGAATTACAACGCCTTTTTGCATCTTACCCTTGTTTCCTTGAATTTCTTAAAGTAGACAGGCGAAAATTCAGAAAAGTTCGGGATAAAGCCGCTCCAGCTCATCCCCGGTCAGTTGCTCCAAAAAATGGTTCACGTCCCTTATCGGCACTCTCCTTACGCTCCTTATCTCTGTACGAGCAACCTATTTAGAGATTTTCAACTATCAAAAGTTTAAGTATCCACACACTTACGCCCCGAAAATCAACAATCGTCGACCTATAAAAGAGGGACACTTAATTAATTAAATTCGGAAGTTACTTATTTTGAAAGAACGAATTTCAAGCCAATTATCGAATTTCGCTGTGTCAGTTTTTCTGCTGAAAAATGAGCGGAAAAAGGGATTTAATAGTTTAGCTGAATTATCGAATCGGACCAGTTTATTTGAAAGAAATTTCTAAAGCATCTCCGATCGCCTTCAAGCTTCTTCTTTTTCAAAGAACACTTCTGCCCCCAAGAGCACTTTCTATTTTTAATTCGACTTTTCTCGTTTCGTAAGTTATTCAACTTCTTCAATAATTCTTCCTTATAGTCGCTCATCAGAAGAATCCATTGAGTAATTTTAATAATTGTGAAATAACTCGCTTGGAGTCGCTATTCAAGCATTTTCTTCTTTCTTATTGGCTGAAAATGAATTGCGACAATTTCGGGTGAGGACGAGTTTGATCTACGTGCCCTTAACATTTACAGCGCAGTTCCAAAAAGTAACTTTTAATCCCATTTCCGGTGCGAAAAGGTTTTTGCTATTTTGATTTCCATTGCCACGTAACATTCCGACCCCAGAAAAGAACGCGAAAAAGGGCAATATAAGTTATAGAAGGACAAGCACTAAATGAAACAGGAAATGAAATTTCCCAAGTAAAAGGTTACGAGAGCATTTTTGAAGCTAATCTTTAGAGAGGTTTATAGAAAATTGGAGAAATCATATTGATGGCGCTGTTCCATTATTTGCTGCGTTTTTATTGGTCGAATTCATAAATTTGCAATTTCTAAAGTTCATTCTCCCCGAAAATTGAAAATTGGAGGAAATAGAATTTTCGCTTGATTGGTATGAGGTGGAACAAAATCTGGGGATTTGGAGCCGTCAAGAAACGTCAGGGCAAAATTGAAATGAGCCGCAATTCGGACAGATCGACTAGCTGGCAAGACTTCGCTTCGCAGAACAAAACGGCTTTGGCATTTTTTTTCTGGTGCTGATTTTTCAAGTTCAATAAAAGGCTGCAACTTCCGAGAAGTCACTGAAGAGAGTGCACGCAATCCTCCACATCATCCTGCATTTGACCGAGCGTTCGGTTTCGCTCGGAAGCGCCCGTTTCCTCTCATTGAGCGCACGTGCCTGCCAAACGTGTTTATTCGAACATACGCAAAAAACATAAACAACTCTCACACAGTCGGTTACAAGCTCGACTTTCCGCAGAGGAAGACCAACAGAGGGTATTAGCCCATCTTTATTTTTAAACAAAAACAAGACATTCTATTGATAATAGTAAAATTGAGGGACAGACATGAAGATTTATATAGAAGAGATATGATATCTTCGAGTTGCTTTTTCGATACCATTTATATTGATGATCAATGTTATACCAAACATCGAAAAGATTAAGTGTTCCTGTATTTCTTAAATACAGTATTTAATACCAACGATTTTAGATGGAACATTTTTTATGGCTTGACAAATTGCCATGGAAAAATTTCGCTCATGGTGAATACCACTTTATTTTTTTACGGTTGCAACTAATCGAATACTCATCAATATCTTCCTCTCGAGTTGAGTGGATATTGATTGTCCTGTATCTTATCGGCTGTTGAATATGTTGGCTCATTGGCTCATTTCTTCCGAGAAACAATCACTCTTGACGCTTATCTTCTTTAGCGTCTCCTCGAAGAGAGTTGTTGGCACAACTGTAATGAATATAATTGGTACTTGATGGATGTGGCGATGGCACTGAATTTATATGTCCGATCACACGTTTCGCGGCAAGCTCGCTTCGCGAATTTTATCGCCAAATATTGAATTTTCATTCACTTGGAAAATATTTGAGGATTAATGCGGCTAATCGTAAGAGTGTAAGCACCCAGCTAAGACCCGATTTTACAGGTTGTTTATAATAGATACGTTTCCAGTTTTTGGAAGTCGCGTGATTCGCGATTTCCTGACTTGTTGAGATTTCCTCAAGTGGGGGAAAGACGCTCCCTCGAGGCTCGAAATCTGGTTGTTCTCGACAGTAGAGAACGCTGAAATGGAGCCTCTAAAAGGCGTAGAAATTCAATTAGTAACTTGTTACAGCGAGTATTTTTTCAGCAGCGTGTGTGAGAATCGAGTAAAAGTTGTATTTTGTTGAATGAACATTTCGCACACGCTTCTAAAAAGGCGCAAGAACAAGTGGCCTTGCGCAAGCACGTGGGAAAAAATTCAGTTGAGCCTCGTGGAAATGTCCCCTCCCCGTGGAGCCATGTTGTCAATTTAACCCGAATTATGCACATGCCATTGTAACGCGCCGAGCCGAGCGCGGGTTAAGCATTTTAACCCCTGTGTGTGACTTGACGTGGTAGACTGACGAATTAGCGATACTAATGGCGGCAATTCTTACCTCGGCCGAGAAGAGTGCTCCAAAACAAAATCGTCAAAAATCGATCATTTTCGTGTGTAATCTTGCTTTTCGAATTTCGAACTCGAATGCACCGGTGACCGAAGATTTGCGGCTTGAAATTTCATTTTATTTTGCGGAAAGTAGCAAAAATGCGATTGTGTCCAATAAATCAACTCTTCGCTCGAAACTCTCGATTCCGCATTTTTTCAAAAACTTCATCCGTCGTCATCGTTTTCAAAATTATAATTCGCACGTTCCATTTTGCCGCTTTTTGATAGACTGGATCCCCCGCCGAGCATTTTTTCCCAGCAATGGATTATCCAAGATCTTCAATTTTCCCAACTCGAAGGGCGGTAATTTAAACTCTTTCAGTGTTTTCGTGACACCTCATTTTCGCGGCCTCAAATTTTCTCAACCTTGACCGCCGAGGATGACGATCCGGCTGCCCTGTAATCATAATAATTGCATCTCCACCAGCGCACGGATTATGACAATTACCAATCTCAGCTAGAAGAAGATGATCGCAACATCTCATTTATCCTCTCTAATGGAAACTAAATTTGAAAAGATGGGATCATTTCTTTCTTTCAAGAATAAACAAAAATCATGTAGATTTTCAGATTCTTGTCGATCGAATTTGACCTGTTGTAGATCATTGTAGTTATCAAACTCGAACATGAGAAACACAAGGATATATCCGGACGACCATTAGTTGGCCCAAAATTGCCGGACGAGATTTTGATTGATTTCTACAAGTACTTTTTCTCTAACAAAATTGATCGGCCAACTACCGGTAGAAAAGTGGATTTTTTTTCTATATTGTGGTGTCACGTTAAAGTATGATTAAATAAAAGAAGAAGAGCTGCTGGTGGCTGTGGGTAAGACATGTTGGCGGTGGGATGAGCTCGCCACAAGAGCTAGTTCTTGCGCGGGGAAACTCTAGTTTTCGCCACCTCAAATTGCTTAAAAGGACTAATTATTGGGTCGCTTTACCCATCATATCAACCTCAGGGACTTATTCATTTCGCAGAAGCGGCCCCTCGCAGAAACATGAGTACAAGAAAAACTTATCTACCTGGCACATCATTTTTTCTTACGTAGTCACAATTTTTGAACCGGATTTTATTTATTTTCAAACAGAGAAATTCTAATGATAAGCTGTGATTTCACAACGGTAATTTAACAGAGTCAAAAAATGAACTTCCTTTTGGCCACGAAAAAAATCTGGCGCTGTT